TAGCAGATAGACCGCATTCTAACGAATTTAGCCCGTACCGTATTAATTCCTGCTGTTCTTTTGAAAAAAAACCTAAGAAGCCGAAGAATACATTGTGAGCATGGAAAACACACGGGCAGAATATGTGGAGAATACGGAAATACAGCGCAGGAAGACGCAGTGAGACGCACTTGGAAAAGCGAAATAATGGAGAATATACCGTGAATACAGAAAGAAAACATGTAGGATAAACAGGCATGCGTAGAATACAGTAAACAAAAAAATGGGCCATTTTATAGTGGTACGAAAGGGCCGCATCGGTGTAAAAACTAACTTAATATTTGCCGCTTCATAGTGGAGCACTATCCTCATATTCGCAATGGCGCTTTTTTCCATCGTTTTAAAAACATCACTAAAGAGAAAGTGTGAAACCCGGCAAGAAAAGGAATATGAAGTATCTCTTCCGTGCCGCGTAAGCGCTGCTGCACGGCGTAGTCAGGCGACCATGAATGAATTTCCTAAAATTCAGGTTTAAAAGTTTAAAGTACTCGCCGTTGTCCACGTTGTCGACCGCTGTCTGATGTTAGATGCACAGCAGTGTTCGCATCAGACAGCTGATTTCTCGTTTTCGGCCCGCACCAGGCCATTTTCGAGTGTGGTCGTCAAGAGCTGCGTGCGTCGGCAGAATTCGATAACACGGTTTACTACTTGCTGAAAACAAGAACCGGTTTCTTAGATAAAGAAATGGCCAACTATTAGATCAGTCAAAGCTGAATAGGCGCTAACGATAATCGCAGTTGTTCTTGGCTGGTATTCTTCCGATGATGGCACCGACCCTTGACTTCGCCACTTCAGGCAGCAGTGCTCGTTGGCGCGGTGGAACATGGTGTCCTAGGCGAACTGCTGATCGTCCAAGACTGTCGGGGCCCTCCAGCAGACGGTCGCTGTGGTACAGCGCCTGCGATGCGGCGGTCCTAAAGCATAATTACGTGGCGGACAGTGGGCGACAGTGGTCTTCTTCCCTCCGACGTAACTGGCCGTGGCTTTGACTCTCTTTTCGCTCTAAGCACAGCGCTATGCAATGAAGGAAATCAGTTGATATTAAAATAATTACTTCGACGTTTGTCTGAAGAGGGAAAACGGATGACTGAAAAAGCCCGTTAGCGATTAGAAAAATGTGTAAAGAGGGAATTGATGAATTACATTGATACTAATTGATGAAATTACATACTAGCTTGTGGTGGCTGCCATTCGGAATTCGATAACACGGTTTACTACTTGCTGAAAACAAGAACCGGTTTCTTAGATAAAGAAATGGCCAACTATTAGATCAGTCAAAGCTGAATAGGCGCTAACGATAATCGCAGTTGTTCTTGGCTGGTATTCTTCCGATGATGGCACCGACCCTTGACTTCGCCACTTCAGGCAGCAGTGCTCGTTGGCGCGGTGGAACATGGTGTCCTAGGCGAACTGCTGATCGTCCAAGACTGTCGGGGCCCTCCAGCAGACGGTCGCTGTGGTACAGCGCCTGCGATGCGGCGCGGTCCTAAAGCATAATTACGTGGCGGACAGTGGGCGACAGTGGTCTTCTTCCCTCCGACGTAACTGGCCGTGGCTTTGACTCTCTTTTCGCTCTAAGCACAGCGCTATGCAATGAAGGAAATCAGTTGATATTAAAATAATTACTTCGACGTTTGTCTGAAGAGGGAAAACGGATGACTGAAAAAGCCCGTTAGCGATTAGAAAAATGTGTAAAGAGGGAATTGATGAATTACATTGATACTAATTGATGAAATTACATACTAGCTTGTGGTGGCTGCCATTCGGAAATAGAGGCGGTAATGTGCTGAGTCTGCATTTCAGCAATTAAGACACGAATTCGGCAAATCAAAAAACAACATAAGATTTATCTGGTGAATAATTTAATGTACGAGTACAACACATGCTTATTAGTTATTAGTAAAACCGAGGTGCCTACAAGTATATCATTAATTTTGGTCATTGGATCGTTGCATACCTTCCGCTAAAGAGGTACGTTTTTCTTTAAGAAATTCATGTATGTTATGATCGGCGCAGTTCCATTTCCGAGCTTGCCACCTGTCGAGCACAATGCAAATGTTTACAATATTTTATTAGAAATAACGGATTCATATTATAGCGTTAGTGTCTTGTGTGACTAATAATGTACGAGTGTGTACGTGTTGTATGAGTAAAATGTGAGTGTAATCTTAAATCAAAAAACCTATCCCATTTCATTTAGCCTTACCTAAACACTCATTGTTTCTTCGCCTATAAAATGGCAGACTGTTACTGTTTACGGAGGATAGAAGATTATCTTACGTCTTCTAACGAACGAACGATCGACCGAATGTTATTAAACTACTGCCAAAACCTGTTGTTGTTACGATCCCGTATTCCTTAGTTCCTACACCATCATAACTCGACTACAGTTAGATCAAGTTAGGCGACTGGGCCGCCGGAAAGGCAATCCAGTACGTAGCGTCTCAGCCTACGTTGTAATATCGTCAGTATGATGGGGAAACGATTTTTAGTGCAATCTGCTACCAAATGTTCAAATAAGTGCATTACACTGTGTGGACGTTGCAGCGCACAGGTCATGGCGATGGCAGCGTAGTGGAAATATCCTGCAGTGCGGTGCGGCACCGGGCAACGCGCAAGATAATCCGGTGCTTTTTCCGGACGCGCGATCTGGTAGCGACATCAAAGAGAAACTACAGTGAATGCAGCGCGCTGGCATTAACATCTGCACATCCATCAGAGCAGCGGTTTAGCGGCGTGTGAGCACTGGATGCCTGCGGAGAACGATGTTCACGGTAATGGCTTACCCCGGTCATTGATGTATATGGCCACGGCACACCGCAAAAATCCACGTGACACGGTTTTCGTACGGCAGAAAGTTGCTTATCGAGGGCGTTGCCCACCCATTTCTGCGGGAAGCAAACCGCACACCGAAATAACCTGTGACTGGTTAACATCATCCCACCATCCAGTGCTTACCCAGAACTCTGGAAGTAAGCCTTTAGGATAAAAAAAGAATTAAAAGTGTGCCCAGAAATCACTGGCTTACTCCTTATATCGTGCAAGTTTCTTATGCGTAAATTACTGCAACAACAAGATAATAATAATAAATATATATAAATATACTGGTAGGTTTCGGAAGGATCTTTTGCTTTATTCAAATAAAATGAACGCATAATCGATAAGCACAGGAATGTTGCACTCACAGGTAATTTTTTTCCAAATGATGCGCTTGCAGAATAATGTCGGATACGTATGACCTTTGCAAAAGCATGCGCCGCGAAATGCTATTTTAAGGGCAACAGTTTGCCACCTAATCCAGTACTATGCGTTTTTAGACAGCGACCGCTTTTACCCGATCATCGAACCAACATACCCTGCCACCGGATTCCAGCTTGCGAAATGGTTCCCAGAGGAATTGAAGAGCCCGTTGTGCAACCCGCAGCCAGCGCTTGGCCCCATCGGCAGCTGCAGGGTGGCAGCACTGTGCCATCGATGCAACGATTCTGGCAGCATACTCGTCACTGCAGCCTCAGCATTCCGCGCGCACTATGCGTCTTCTCAAGTGTTTTTCCATCCATAATGCTAATGCCGCTTCTCTGATCTGCCTTTGCTTCCGGTTCGATAACAACATACACGTATGAACTGCACACTCAGCTTCGGAAAAATCGAATTCACTTGCGAAATTATACTGTATTCTACATTTTCCCCGGTATAAAGCCTTAAGTGTTTCTTCGCAATGACGGTGGCGGCTGCAGCCACGTTTCGCAGCAGTCAGCAGCTTGTGCGAATTCTCTTAGGCGAAAACGGCTGCAAGCAGCTCGTGTCGGAACGTCAGCCACTTGAAGGAGAAAATTCCAAGTGATCCAGGGAGACAAGTGCGTAAAAAGTGAAGATTCCAGTCACCTGATCGAATGCAGCGGCTGTTCGCCAAACCGATATAAAACAGTTTTGTCTGACTTCATTGCGCATTATCGTTCCACTGTGATTATGTAACGTATTCTCTGCACACATTAAAAGATTAACGATTTTTGTTTAAATAACAGTTTTCTTCACTTCAGTGCATTTGCCACCATGATGCTGCTTGTTGCAGCCTGGAGCAGTTTAGTGATGGTAAGAATCTATTTATTTTAACGACTAACCTCACCTGTTGGTAAAGACTGTCGGTCTAACTGAAGAGCAAACTTAACAATGCGCGTTCTGTGTTTGCAGTTAGCGGCTGCCTGCCGGCTTCCGGGTGAAGGGTGCTCCGATGCCATCGAGTGTTGCGAGGACCTCTTTTGTGAGAAAGTCGACGCGGTATTCGGCTTCTGCCAAGTGGAGAATCCCCCTTATGGCCGCACCACCCAGCCCCCTTCGATCCCAGATACGCCGACGAAGCAACCGACCACCATGGTCAGCAGCGGCTGCATCACTGGCTCGGGAACGTCATGCACGCATGATAATTACCGTGAAAATCGCTCTTATCCCATTGTGGGTACGTTGCGCAGATAAAGTATTTGCCGGTCATTTATTATTATTATTAGGTTGCTCTGAAGTCTAAATACATATTGGTCTTCAATGTTAAGAGTTATACGATCCTGCTAATTATCCATCACTTCCTTTCGATGCAAACTACGGTGGCTATCGCTATTCTCCCTATGGTGGCATCAGTCCGCTGTCTCCACCGTTTGCCTTTTCTGGTTCGCCTGTTGGCACCAACATGATGCCGGGTGGGATGCCAAACAATCCGAATCAATGGTGCGAACCCAAATTTACACCACTTTACTCTGACCCAAATCTGTTCGAGCCAAATATCTGGCCCAATGCCAAGATTCGTGGAATCCCTTATAGGCTAGGTAAACCTTTAAGTCCGCTGCGCAGCACACGTGTCTTTCCTTTGAATAATTGTTGGAGCATTATTGCGTTCGGTTTGCCGTTTTTAATAAACGCTCATTTTATTAATTTGTTCGCAGTATACGATAACACTGTGAACGCGAATACGAGGTTTGTGAACAGTGCCAAGCGAGCCATCGAAGCCATAGACACTGCAATGGGTGGATGTGTGGGAAGCTGACGCAAATGAAGCATTTCCTGTGTTAAACATCAACATCTTTCAAGACTTCTGTACGTACCAATCCTGCTCAATGGGGTAAGTAATCAGAAACTACGTACATAATTATCTACGTAAATTAGTGGTAAACTAATTGATTTTGATTTTTCTTCATTCTGATGGTTTTGCATTTAGTGCACTAATGAGACGACCCATTATTACGCATGCTAATTTATTAATCACATATGTATTACTCATTTAATTATTAAATAATTAGTTATTTATTTATTTTGTAATTATCTAGTCAATTAGCTAGAGTCGTATTGTTACTTGCAGTTACAGTTTTACTGACTTTCAGTTGCTAAAGAAGTATAGCAGACTGAAGTCTTTACTGCAATACATAGCGTTATCATTTTAACGTGCGCCGATTAAACCGTCAAAACCAAAGTCCGTAAAGATAACACTAAACCACATTTTCGGTGATAACAGTTAAGCTGTCATAACGCAGGTATTAACTATGTACAGTAGTGGATACTAAATATAGATGTACAGTATGTATGTGGAAAGAGCTGGTATACGTAAAATTATTTTTACGGATGTATACACCGCATAACCTTCGTGAGTCATACCACTACGGCCGGCATTACACAATCAAAAGTTTAAAAAAAAACCAAACTTTATTGCTGTGTGCGTTACCTGCGTGGTTGTAGCGCCCCCTATTCCGAGCAGCTGGGTTTAAATCCTGACGAAAAATCCGATAACGGGATCTACATAAACACAGTACCGTTCGATGAGCCTCAACATGAACGCCCGGATTGGCTGCTGGAAGTTGTTTTTATTCACGAAATCCTTCACGGTGTTTTTGATATACGGCATGAACATACGAGGGCAGATCGCGATCAGTACATGAAGCTGTTTTCCTCCAATCTGATGTGCAGTAAGCACTCCATACTGAACCAGCGATAAGCAATGCCAGCAATGGGCATTAAACGAAATTTTGTTATTATGATTAATTAATCTTAACACTGTCATGTTACCGTGTTCAATCAAATAATTCAGTAAAGAAATACGTTAAAACTGCCTCAACTCCATCCCGCTTTCCAGATAACCCGATGGATCCCAACAATAATCTCCATTACTTCGAGAAAAACGACCCAACCGCACCACATTTCTCATCGGATATGAAAATGCCTTATGATCCTCGCAGTATCATGCATTCGGGCTTTGACGATTATTCCAGAAGGGTTGATGGTACCCCTCTTACCACAGTCCAGCTACAACCCGGAATGCCGCTCTTTTGGGTCGCCGGACCCATCCGGGAAACTCCACGCTTACGATTTTTTGATGTGGAAAAGATGCGCACGCGTTATAAGTGTCCCAGACAGAATCGTGAGCTTCTCAAAGGTACCCAATCAGTGATTATTCCTATTTAATAACAGTTTCAGTGAGAAAACGTAGCTGCTCCCAGTTAACAGTGAAAATTGTGTCAATCACCCGAATTCTGTGGTAGTTCTGCTGCTATACCTCATCCTCCTCGCAGTCTGACTTTTCATGGTGTTTACAATAATTGTTAGTAGCGTCAACCACCTTATCAGTGATTCTTAGAAAGGTCATCTGTTGTATTAATCTTGATTTCCAGAGACCCGGGAAACTTATTTTCTTTTCAAGTGGATAGTGGACTGCGAAGGCGACCCGTACCAACTGGAAAACTACCTCAGCCCTGCCGAGCTTACCAACCGCAACATGATTGAGAAATGTGCCCGACTTGCCGAAAACTACGGAGTGCTGGCGACGCTAAATCTGACCGGAAAAAGCTGCAACGTGCATGACAGTCTCGCTAACTGCCAGTATAAGCCTCACTCGTCCGGTGATGTCGCCATAATTGGGCGTAGCAACCGCCTCCTACGAACCTTTGACAAGAAGGTAATTGTGCAGGCTGGGTCGAAGCCGGTCAGTCAGATCTCCGGTGCCCTTCTGCGAGACCTCTTGAGTGGTGAGTGTCAAGCCCTTTGCCAACTTATGCCGGGAATTTGTGTAGCAGCTACGGAGATAAACAAGGGAAACACCCATCAGTGTCAGCTGTACTCCCAGTGGCCGACCCGCTTCACCAACACGATGGATCCCGCCGTGACGACATACGTCGTGGAAGACTGGGATCGGATGCCTATAGATGACTATAATTCGTTGGCTTAACAAAACGTCCAATTATTTTAACGAACTCATGATAGCTAGAGTAGATTCGGATTCGTGCCAAATTTATCACTACTTTCAGACTCGAAACTGTCATAACGATAAGGTTATTTAGTGGTCATTTAAATACACGAATAGATTTGATTTCCAAGATCGTTGATGCTGCCATGGATAAATTTCTCTCGGTGCTGTCCGCTTCAGTGGTGCATTTAGTACATTCATTCATTAGAATGCAACTGCCATACAGTGATTCGTCACGTCACCTGAACGTTTCTGCGCAACAGCAGCAGCATTACCCGCGATTTATCACTGTGCAGCACAAACCATGACTGCTTCTTCGAAGAAAACCTGTTTCATTTCCACAGCAGCCGTTTCTGTCATTAATTTCATATTGAGCGTTGCCGGCAATTCTCTGCAGCTGCTTCCACGTTGCGCTAAAACTCAGCACAAATGCCACGTCTATCTCTTATTAATGTTCATCTGTGTTTGCTAAACTTCGTTTGCAAAATAATGGCATGGTCTCGCGTTCAATATCTGGCGCTGTCTGTGAAAGAATATCCAGCTATTTCAATGCGACCTGTATCCATGACAAGGATATTGGCCATGCTGCTCTTGATGCTGGTATGCTGGTCGGCACCGGTGACGGCGGTTTTTTTGCGAGCAGATTCGGACGAATACGTCCACGGCGCTGACCTGTACCGAGGAGGATACCCATCCGGTTGGGACTCTCCTCAGGAATACGTATGCCACAGCTATGTGCTGCCGGCGTGCAACGACGATTGGCCGCGTTGCGGCTGCCACAAACGGGAGTACAACGTCAGCGCCATTTCGCGCAATCTGACAGCCTTGGTGATCGGCAATTCGGAAGACCAGGGTGGCTGCGGTGGGAGCTGCATGCTGAGCACCTTTACGCCGCTGCCGCATCTGCCCAATCTAACCAGCATTTGGCTCTTCGATTTGTGGGTGGCGCCGGACGATGGGCCGTTCCCACTCAACCGCTTCCTCATCAACGTCCAAGCGACCGTCACCGAAATGCGTCTAGCGGGGATCCACATTCCCGCGTTGACCCGCGAGACCTTCGCGGGATTCCCGCTGCTGACGGACTTGCAGCTGAAGAGCAACCGCTTAGCGGCCATCTCGCTTGACGCCTTTGCGTTCCACGGGCTTCCATCGAAATTCGTCACTATCCACATTTACGAAGGGAATTTTACCAAATTCGATTGGTCAGTTTTCGCACCGGCGGCTTCAACATTGGAGGTACAATTCGTGCATTGTTTATTATTTTGCCGGATATTTTTGCTTACATCGCTTCATAGTAAATTGTTCGAGTGTTTACAGAGGGTTTCCGTGATGTACAGCGAAGTGCAGGAAATCTACTTTACTAAGTACTTCGCGATGCCGACATTACAGACGCTGTCCTTGGCCGGGAACCGTCTGACGCACCTCAACGACAGCCTGCTGTACAGTCTGACCTCGCCGTGGGTGCGTCCGAAACTAGATTTGCACTCCAATCCGTTGTGCCCGTCCGACGCGGACTGCGACTGTCCCGCTCTAAAGAATCTATGGGAGTGGCTGCTGCGGAAGCCGCCGCTCGGCTACACCGCCGTCTCGCAGTGCTGCTCCATCTCCGACGGTGTCACCTGCGGTAACTACACCAAGGGTACGGCCACGCCCACTTGGAGCAACGCGTCGTCAGGTGGGGTGCACGTCCCACGCGGAAAGTCCTTCGAGGGAGCGCAAGTCACAGCTCTGGCGGCGAGGCGGTTGTTGCCGTACAAGTCTCGAGGAAGCATTTATCCGCTGTCGCTGTTCGATTTTGTCTACTGTACACACGCTGCTGGCTGCTATCCAAAGAATCGCTCAACCTGGACACAAAATGTCACGCTCGGCGCTAGTGCCGTGTGATGTAGCAAAACTTTACAATAAGCACGATTCTTTGTCGTATGATGATAAAGTTGTTTACAATTCTTGTTCGTACTTCATAATATTCCGTTCCTCAAACGCGAATTTTGCGGAGAGCTCTTCCGTGTCTAAGAATAAATTACGTTATTACAAGAAAACTACTTTCTGTTTGTATTTATGTAGTATGTCATGAAATACTGTATATCTCAAGGAATAACAATTACTCATGGCGAGCGAAATTCTGGTTGCTTAATCATTAAGCAACCAGAATTTTAGGTCACGTTAAGGCTTAATGTGACCTAAAACTTCCGTGTAAGCGATCCGCACGCATTAACAATGACCTCCATAATTAATGCGATTTTCCAAGAAACCTGTTCTTCTTTGACGGTGCGTATGTGTATGGCGCTGCAGGCGCTCTCAGTTCCGCGAGTAAAACTAATTATGATACCAACAGCCGCTTCGCGGAAAGCGATACGCGCAAAGAAAGCGGCAAAAAAATTATTTAGAATAAGAACGCTGTTTCGTTTAGTTTCATATCTCTTTAACGCGACTGCGGCTGGGAGACGTTGACACAGTCGGCAAATGCGGTACCAGCTGTCTTCTGGAGAACCGTGTTCCGCTGCCCTTCCGGTCCACGCTGACCTACATCGAGCTCTTCAATATCTGGGTGGCAGGCGCCATCCACTGGAAACCGACAAACGGCCGAAAAATGCACCGCTAGGGGAATCGAACCCCGGCTACGTCGTTTGATCCGCCGGTAGGCAGTACCACTGCACCACGGCGCAACGCCGCAATACGTCAAATCCTTTGAAAGGCTTTATCGCAGTACGGGACCCGCTTCTCTCCTCAAAGTAGTAAATAAAGAACCGCCGATTGAAAATAATTTCTTTTCTCTCCTCGTTTTTTCAAATTCTTTCCACATTTTGGCCGCGCAGTTCTGCGTCTAGCATCAGGTACATAGATAAATGCATCAGATAAATTTCGAAATAATTATTGGTGAACCTGTGAATGCAATGCTTCACTTTATGACAACGCATTTGCTTACATTGGATTCTAATTTGCTGTTCTCGTTTAAGGTTTACTCGAAGGTCGAACGTCCGCACACGTTCAGGGCAGAGCCCAATTCAAGGCAGTAGACACCCAGAACAACAACAATTCTCCAGAATATGCAGCATTCAGATCAAGCTCTAAACAAGAATACAGTCTCTTGGCGGCAACTAGGAAGTTATGTTGCAAATGTGCCAATCTACCCAAGAAAACTGCGGCTTTCGGTGCTGGGAGCTTACCTAAGCGCTTTTCGTATAAGAACCGCTTAGAAATTTCATTATTATTCTGCTTCGATCTGCTTTGACCTCGTGATCATTTCGCCAAGTGCAGGCAAGACACACACACAGTTCAACGCGCTGATGTTACACGTGGGCGTTTACCCTCTATGACTGAAATTTTTGTCCAATTTTCTCTTACAAAGCTGCTTGGAGATACCGGAAACGGTAATAAACCGGAAGTATAAACCGGCTTTGCTTTCTGAAACTGCTGTTTACGGGTACCTGCTTTTCTTGCCATAAGCACATTCGGTCACTGACAGCTTCCGCATCATGGAGATCGCTCAACATAGCCGCCTCAAGTTGTTTTTAAAAGCGGATGTAAGAGCATTCAAACGCATCAACTTAACTTGATTCCGCTTTGATAATACAATCTGGTCGCCGGATCCCAGAAGCGTAAAAAAACTGCAGTAAAATGTATTGTTTGGAGGAAGTGTTTATAATATCGCTTATAATAGGATCCATGTCTAACTGTGCGGCCGACACAATCCCAATAAAGTATCCGGGATTTCCCGAGCAGAACGTCAAGGCTCACACACGCAGGTGTTTTGACGTGTACTGGCGTTCCTTAGTACACATCTTTACTACTTCTACCCCAAGGCTTAGGCTAAGTACTTACTACAACCTCTTCTCAAGTCATGACCCCGAGTCTCAGTATCGACTTCTGAGAAATCTCCAGCAGAGAACTTTGACCGCGACTTGCCATTTCGCTTTGACCGCGAGTCACTGACGTAGCTAAACCTTTTGTTCTTCTGTACGAGCTGACCTCTTGTTCTTATTAGTCCACGTGTAAGGATGCGGCGGTTAGATTGGTCCACGTGTGTGTAATCGTAGTTCATTGGCTAGTTTCTAAATCCCTATTGTTCTCAGATCCGTACCTGCGCGTACGAAGAGCCGCACCTGCGAGTGCCCAGGGCTATATAAGGCGCTTGTCGCCCATAGAAATGTCAAGAGTTGTAATCCCAACAAAAGTAGAGTCTTGTTACTCGATCTGATTAACTTCAGGCTTTTGCTCTGGTCTTCTCTTTCCAAGTGAGGCTGTTCAAACTGACCTCTGGGTGACCTTTCACCTACTGTCAGGGGTCATTCCTCTATCTCGTCGACGTGCATTATGGCTAAGGCTATTTTGCCGCATTTTTTCCCCGTGCGGCAAAATAGCCCTTTGCTATTTTGCCGCACACTGCGTTAAAATAGCCTTTAGCTATTTTGCCGCACTATGGTCGGCCGAATAGCCTTTCACTATTTGGCCGCACAGTCCGCGGAAATAGCCTTTTGCTATTTTGCCGCAGTATGACCGGCAGAATAGCCTTTCGCTATTTCACCACTGTACGGGGTACGGTCTATTGCTACACTTTATAGTAGAGCAGCGGCTATAAGCCTAATGTTCTTATGTGTTGAGGCCACCGCTTACGAAATTGCGTACTTTGTTTTACGCTCTCGGCTGTTGTTTGTTTGAAATATTGTGAATCGTTTGGCGTTTCAGGAAGTCCCTGTCAAAATCAATTTTTGTGGTGCAGTAAAAGTGATCAGTGGTAGGGATCTGTTAATGCACATTTCTAAGACGGTTTATTCATCGTCAGATACATGGAGAGCGGAAGCTGTTCGTGCACATTAGTATTTCTCAGAGATACAAAAATGTGAATTAAGTAGACTTTTTACCGGAAAAGCATGGCGTAATTTCGACGGACGTCAGCGTATTTTTGATATACCCATTACCCACACTAGAAAACGCGCTTAACCAAGCAACTGGCGAAACCGGAAGATGAGTATCTACGGGCAACATACCCGTGACAAGGTTTAATGAAACAAATGAGACTGAACTCTGCTGCATGAAAACTTTTTACTTTTCCGCAAGTGTCAGTCAAATGCATCACATTACAAGGGCCCAAACGTGTGGCATATCCAACCGCTTTAACCAAATGGTTTTTCTTCAAAAGGGATTGTACATTCTTTCTTGCTTTTTTAAAGTCGTGATCGATTTAATAGAGAACTACGATTTTTCAAATGTGAATTATGAATATTAGCGGACTTTGTCTAACTTGTAGCACTGGCCCAATTGACCCCGACTGCAGGATGCAAACAGACTGCCGCCGACACAATGCCTGCCTGGCTTCAGTGCAATCCCGACTTAACCGGGTCACATTTGCACCTCTTTCCCCGATTCAGAGTTTTTTGCACTTTCAATAAAAAAATTACAGATTTAGATTCAGCGCAAAATTTTATTGTGGTTTTCTGTCTTTAAAACGTTTGTAACCTTTATGAATCGTCAGAAAGTCACAGCCATACGTTTGCGACTTGATGACTTGATGATCGTTTTGGTCAATGTATTTCTTTTGCCTTCCGAGAAATGTTGACGAGGTAGGACGCCAGAAAATGTACCGAATTTTTGCACATTTCCGTACCAGAGTTTGCCCTTAAACCCTACCCGAGGGTTTGCAATTTAAGAAGATCAACTATCACGGGTTGACCAGGTCATAGGCGAGAATAAATTGCATTAGTTAATTACACGAACAGCATAAATACCGGCTGCCGGTTTAACGCGCGCGTAATAATTTGGAATCGCGATAAGCTCTTCAGTAACGTAATGGATCCGGTAACTTATCACGCCTTGCAGTGGCACCGTCGCCATTATTTGGTAAAGGTAAAGAACCGTACCAGTACAGTGCAGATGACAATACTAACAGCGACGACGACAAGTCGGTTGCTCGCACCAGCTAGGATTACCAGCACTATTGGTATTGCACACGTCAAGATTAATTATTAGTGTTGACTGCTCTCATGCTTGCATTAAATTTTCGTAATCAGTAGTACGCTCTTGATACTATCGGCATATAGTACTTATTTGTGGCCGCAGTAGATACTGTTGTACATTGTTAAGCTCTTATTATGTACGTGAAATATTACTGTATCGCATCTGTCTGGGTCCAGATCCCAGTTTATTATTCGCATGTGTTCGCAAGATTCTCCAAGTTCATGTTAAGGTTAAAGTGTATCCAGGATACCTTAACATTATTGTTACTTGGAACGTAACTAATTTGTTAAGTAATTTATTAAGTACTGTAACTGAAATTGCAGTACGAAAAACACTTAACTAATTTATTAAGTAATTGGATTAGCAGAACAAAAAAGTGTTAGAACAGGAAATGTAGATCGACTTGAACCGCTTCCTTAGCGAACTGACCGAATGTTGCCAATACAGGAAAACCAGAACCGGGTATACTAATGGTTAAGATTATTTTGTATAATCATAGCAGCAACTCTGGCGAACGCTGCGAATATTGGAAAACCAGAACCGGTATAACAATGGTTAAGCTTATTGAGCCTGACCTTAACAGCAACCTTGGCGAACACTGCGAACGCTGCGAATATGCGCAAATCAGAACCGGCATACTAATGGTTGGGATTATTTGGCATAACCTTAGGAGCAATCTTGGCGAACGCTGCGAATATTGGCAAATCAGAACCGGCATACAAATGGTTAGGCTTAATTAGCCTAACCTTAACAGCAGCCTTGGCGAACACTGCGAACTCTGCGAATATGGAGAAGTCAGAACCGGCATACTTGTGTTTAAGCTGAAACCATAAGCATGTCGGAATACTTATGGTTTCAACTGCACATGTACAAGCGTGACAAGTTGAGCATAAGTGGATACAAACGAGAAAACCAAATGTACGGAATGCGCTAACTTCATGCTGCGGCACGCCACTCTGCACTATATAAAACACATGACATATGCTTTGCGTTGTTGGCCTATAAAACACCAAATTTTGTAGTAACATCAGCAGGAGGAGCCTGACCGATGGTGGCTAAACTAAAGTCGATGCA